CCATCGTTCATTGCTTAAATATCCAACAGCTATACATAGACTCAAAAGGACCACAATATATCCCAATAAAAAAAACATACCATTTTCTCACTGTCAGCTTTCATTTCTGTATTATCTCTTTCAGCCCAGACACGATAGACCCAATCTTCTGACATGATGGGAGTTCCTATACTTACTGCAAACTATAATAGATAGAATACAATGTTATTCATTGAAATCATGAACTATCTTTACTGCATATTCCTACATTTGATCTATATACATATAATTGTTAGCCCATTTTCACTCTAATGTGTTAATATTTATTTAGACCACACCCAATGAAAGTTACATATTTAACCATGAAATGAAAAATGATATAAACCTGCTTTTCAAAATCAAAGCAATATGAAATAATTACCAAAACAACCAATTATCCAAAAATTGAAAACAGGATGAAATTTACTAACTTTCAGAGGGGAAATTGGTCATTAAAAATGAGGTCATTTTGACCCAGTTTTAATTTATTCTGAATCACATTTGTTTGTTTTTGGTGACATTTAGATCACAGTAGGAAGTGTTAGTAAATAAAATCAAATAGAACAGGATGAAATAATGAGATAAATGAATAAATGATTGAAATATTTAAGATTGCAGACAACAAGGAATTCAATGGAAGTCAAATAGCTTGTAATACGAAGTAACATTTACACACTTAGTACTAGTAAATAAATGAAAGGAAATATTGCAATTGTCAAGTCAAAGACAAAGTGATATCTGTTATCATAGGTCAAGGGAAATAACTCTAATCTTATACAATGAAATTTTACCACATTTTAACAAATTCAAAATCATCGTCAGTAGTGCTCTATTGGCTACATTAAGGACAACATCAATTTAACATAAAACAGAGCAAAATATATCTCGCAGATCATAAATTTAGAACATACCCTATATTTTTCACCACCTGTACAGTTAGCTACAAGATGTGTAACTTTAGATGTGATATCTTTTCTAACACTACCAGCCATATGATGTACTAAATCTACCAGATGACACTGAAATAAAGTAATCTTATTCAGTTGAACTGTAATACAGTTATTTCATTCAGTTGAACTGAAATAAAGTAATCTTATTCGGTTGAACCAAAATAAAGTAATCCTATTCAGTTGAACCGAAATAAAGTAATCTTATTCAGTTGAACTGTAATACAGTTATCTTATTCAGTTGAACTGAAATAAAGTAATCTTATTCAGTTGAACCGAAATAAAGTAATCTTATTCAGTTGAACAGAAATAAAGTAATCTTATTCAGTTGAACTGTAATACGTTATTTTATTCAGTTTAACTGTAATACGTTATTTTATTCAGTTGAACTGAAATAAAGTAATCTTATTCAGTTGAACCGAAATAAAGTAATCTTATTCAGTTGAACTGAAATAAAGTAATCTTATTCAGTTGAACTGAAATAAAGTAATCTTATTCAGTTGAACTGAAATAAAGCTGAAGGGAACCTATGTGGAAGAGATTACTACTTGTTAAAGGGCACAGTGGAGAAAACTTTGACATATAATCAATTATAAAATTTGATAATCTATAATCGAAATTATAAATTCCTAGCGATGATAATCAATTATTTCAATCATTTTCCCTAGTCCTAATCATAGGTGAATGACACTATCCCAGTTGTAAGACTGTAACAAATTGCTTATTATTTATTCATAGCCCTGAAATCCCTTTAAAGGGTAAGGGTATTTGAGCTGTATTTCTACTTACCAACTGTTCTCGTTTCTTAAAACCAGTAAAACATATGACTAAACCATTCATAGAAGAACAGTATAACGGTCTTTGTGAAAATGGAAATGGCTGAAAAAAGGAAACAGAATTTCAATCATTTTATACCCATAAGTAATCATCAAACATCTTTGATCAATTTCGGGGGAATTAGTTTGGTTATATTTTGCACTACATAAAACAAGACTGAAGGTGAATAAAGATAGCCCATTTCCCTGAAAAATACAGGAGTTTGAACTTTCTTACTTTTTTTATTTAACATCAGTAAATCAGTAATGCCATGCAGATTGAAATTAGATTTAAAGCTAGTCAAGTTCATTAACTAGATCTGTCTGTAAAAGCTTACCTCTTTATTTTTTGAACATTTAATAACAGATGATGGACCAAGAATTCTAGCCTCACCACGATGTAATTTCTGGTACACATCGCCTTCAAAACTACTAACAACAAATATAGTCTCATATTCCCCAGCATCCTGTATATATTCCAGCCCTGTATCTGATTTAACTATCTCTACATCAACAGTCTACAACAATTTAGAAAGATGTCAGGATTTCATCAAATGGTGCCACAGGGCAGTGCACTGTATTTTTTCATATCTTGCTTTGTGTCTTTGGAAAGTTCCAAATAGCTAAGTTAAACAGCAACTTTAATCAGAAGATTTTAAAAAGTTGCATGAAATTTGAGAATCGATAATCGATGTCATATATTCCTGACGAAGATCGATTATTTCGATCATTTTACTCAGTCCTCACCCATGTTAGCATTTCAGACTTATTTTAAAATTTAGATCAGAGGCAGAAGGATACTTATAATTTCTGTTTACATTGTTTCATTATTTTGAAGCTTAAATACTTTATTTATTTAATGTTATTTTGATAACTTGTGAATTTCACCTTGGCTCACAAAATGTTGTTTTATTTAAACTAGTATGAACTAACCTGTAGAGATTGAACTAGTTCTGTATTATCTTGTGTAGCTTTACCTACAAGCACTATTCTAACTTCTTTACCATCTGAAAAATACAAATATAAACTACTATCAAGGGATATAACTCTTCTAATCTTACAAGCTGAGAAGGGTCCGAAAGTAATATCTGCATATATTATATTCAGTTTACCATAAAGCATTTAATGCATTAGAGCAGGGTGTTAGCTTACTTTTTAAGGAGTGGTCTAGACTGAAGCTTAAACCACAATTATATTTGTCATTTAAATAATTAAATTCTGGTAAGTTTTTAGGATATAAACCTGGTATCCTATTTTGAACTATGCCTCAAAATTACAACCTGCTAACATCAGTAATGGAGTATAAGCTAAAATGACAAAAACAGTAGCAGCTGAAATGAAGTATCAACTCTAAGGAAAGAATATTAATAATGTGAAAAATGAAAGCAGAAGAAACGCAATTGAAATATTTTGATCAGAGGAAATGGAGCATAACATACACTGAAAATTTTAATTTATTTCCACACTGTGGTACATAACAATATTTTTATAAGTTTTCAGGAAAAAGTACCGACAAGAAAAAAAAGTTCTATTTGCTCTGACCAAAAACATTTTAACAATTCATATGATAGAGAAAGGTCACAGGCAAAGTGAAAAAATAAGCAGCATAATGATGGTGGGTGAATGAGATAGTGAGTGAATGAATGATGAATGAATTAGTGTGTAGAGGTATGATTGGATGAATGAATGACACACAATACACCACCTACCAGGCAGTCTCTTTTTATATTTGGGACTTTCACTGTAGGACTTTGTAGGAGTTTGACTCATTTCTAAACGTGACTGCATTGTGTGCATTTTACCATTTGAATTGTAAACTGTAACAAAATTAAATAATAAAACAAACTAGCAAACTAATGAAATAAATAATATAGCTTGAAAAATAAAATATTTAAAATAAACAACTATAAATAATGGAAGAAAAACAAACTCAAAATAATAATGTTCATATAAATGATACAAATCATTGTCATTGGGTGTGTATCTCTTTATTTCTTTTTCTTTTTTGGTTTAAGTCATAACAGGATCACAAAATCTGACAGGAACTGGTTACTTTAGTAACTTAGCAAGGTTAGTGAAAGCAGAGACTTCTGTTCATTATGATAGCCAGTATCCCTTGTTATTTTGCCAGGTGATTTAAATGGACCTAACTGAAATTGCTAACAGGACTCTAAAGCATATAATTGCACTACAGGTGAAAAAGCTGTCATTATTTAAAAGAGAAAGAGTTGTAGTCTAAGCATAATGATGAACGAGAACCAATAAAATCATTATTGACATTAGGTTTACCAAAAAGTTGTAGCCATGGTCACACAGGATAATTTCTTGCAAGTTATAAAAGGGTTAACTTAACACCTAACCATAATGGCCCTAAAAGACGCCTCTTTTTGTTTTCCTTGGATTGACCATCATAACTAGGGCCATTTTGACCTTTTTTGGGGGCCATTTTGACCCAAGATTTAGTTGAAATCCTCTGGGCCTAGTAATTTGTGGTGCCATTTTGACCAAAACAGGTGCAAATTTGACAATATATCTGAATCTAATAGAATTAGATATTTCCACGATTTGAAAGTGTTACATTATGATTAAGTCTTGATTAATTGTTAGATCTGTGTAGCAAATACAAGTAATTCGAGTTCTGAGCAATAGATTGTTCACCTTTAATAGGGCCAGATCCCCTTTCTAAGAAGTTGTGTAGGTCTAAAAGGGTCAAGATTAAAGTGAGGGTGGGGTTTGTGATGTACGTACGCTTTTTTTTATAAGTAAACAGAGCCCCTTTTTTGGTATTTTCCAGAGAGATAAGATAAGTACCACATGCAGTCAGTTACTTCGGTGTTTTCTAAAAGCATTTCTTCACCAGAAAATAAAAATTTCAAACCAAATGTCGAATTTGATTGTGTTACATACCGTCTTCTTTTACAATTTCCAAACCCTTGTTATCCGCCATTGTTACGGCCTCATTGCAACTTTGAAATTGGCGGTGTTCTGAGGCAAACGATTGGCTGGAGTATCTTACTTCCGGTGTAAATACAAACAAATCTATCAAAAAAATATATAACTCTAAAATGTATTCTGCCTTACTTAGAGTCGATTCTTTATTTTTTCTTCTTTTTTTACTAGATCTACTTCTGATAGATTTCAAGAAATATATAGAATAATTAAAGATAAAACCCAGTCTAAAGTTGCAAGAAAGAACCATAGATAGATATGGCGAGGGGATGCCACTCTAATTATGTGAGACTCAGACCACAAATAAAAACATTCATACTCAAAGAAGATTTAACGCTTAAATTTCAGTTATATTCTATATCTAATTCAGCCCAATCCGACATCAATGGGAGCACATGGAACATTGTGTACTATTTCCCAAGCATTGTTCAAACTGTAATGTGTTTTTCGGTAAAAAAAAAAAAAATACATAGCAATTAAGACTACTTAGAGTTGCTTCCCTTGCATCGTCTGCCTTTTGATAAAGGCGAAACTCGGAAGCACGACGTTGGATCAAACTCATTCTTATTCTTAACTCGAACCCATGACATAAGATGCCTAACAGACTGTTGCAAGAAATTACGATACTAGTCACCATTTGAGACACTTTAAGATTAAAGTTAAATTCTGAAACTAATTACTACAAATGTTCGATTGTCTAGAGAGATTTCTATCCACCAATCAGAATTATGCCTTTATGGGGAATCACGCATGATGGCGATGTAAACAAACCGTACGACACTGACAGTCAGAGTGAATATTTTTTACACTTTTAAATAGAGCACACGTGGTTTATCGTAGTATAAAAGACTTAGTTCACATACGCAGACGACAGTTCAACAACATAGGATCTAAGAGCCACTAAATTGTGCTCTATTGCATTTATATAGGAATAATCTTCATTTGGTAAAAATCTTTCTTTCATTCTTTCCTTATTCATCTGTAGTAGTGTAAACTGTATTGAGAGCTGACTGCAAGCATAATATTGGCATTGATTATTATCAACAAAGACAGTGAGTTTAGTGAGACAGTGATGGAAAGTCTTGTGTTGATGCTACAGATTCAGAAAAGAAGATTTAGACTAGACTAGGCTAGAATATCTTTTATTCTTTTTTATTACGGTACACTACTATTAGGCCGTAATATTATATACCGGTAAGAGATATTTAAATAATATTGAAAATGAAAGGAAGTTTTCTAGCTTTTAAGTAAACTGGAACACTATGATTTCCAGTCTGACTTTTATCCATGGTTTCTGTAAATCCAACTTAGGTTATTATGATTATGATAGGTCTAATACTTCATCGCTTATAATACTTTTTAAAATATAATAAATAGAAAACCGCTTTTGAACCCTTTCTTTAGTATTAATAATATTTGACTGGTGAAAGAGCTGATCCATTAATCTCCGCTACTGTGCCACAAAGTAGCTGATTTTTCCCCCCTTAAATTGGCCTCACTAGTTACTAGCTTATAATTGTAAACAGTCAACAAAATATCTGGTGAAAATTCTTGGCTAGCGTACATCTAAATATATAGTAAATGTTTAAACAAGTTAAAGACAGTTGTCACATATTTAACACAGTTTGTTTTACAGTTTAAAAATAACTAGTGCACTATTTCCATTTAAATTATTTATTTAAGCCTATTTACTATTTACACTATTGGGGCACAATTTAATCTTTGTAATTGATTTGTGTATTTGTCAAGAGTTAATCATCTAAGGAGTAAACAAACACACATTTATATCTCAAGTCAAATTTGGTTTTTAGCAATTTAAGAAACCTGTGTTTGATTATATTCATCATCCAATTTTTGTCATCATATTAGTTGATCAAACTCTTACCAATGAGTTTCGTGCCAGTCAAATTAAAATCAAACCAAACTTTCGTTCCGTTTTTTTATTAACTTATTTTCGAGCTGTAGAGGGTAGAAATTTGATTGGTTAGATCAAAAGGTTAATTTGATGAACATTCCAGAGTGCTGTCGTTAGACCCTTACTGAAGTGGCTTTAAAAAAAGATACAAAAGTTTGGTTAAATTAGACAAGTTTTGTGTTGCAAGTAAACAACTCAGAACATGTTATTGCCAACATGATTTTAAAACTTTTTTGTAAAATATTCTATTGTACATTATTTTTTGTCTCTTTAATGAAACATTGGACTTTATTTACCTCAGACTAAATCCTATATAATTAGTTAAGACTTGAACGACATTCATTAAATAATATTGATTAATTACAAAAAAGTATAAATACGCCTTGTTTCATCAGTCAATCTTAGTTTCTTAAAATATTTCATCAGACAAGAAAATTATGTTGGTTCCTCATATTTTGTTTGGAAATATACCACATCTGTTGTTACATCAGTTATGCTAACAGTTTCCTTGAAGATTTGATTGTATAATGGATATGTTATTAGTCTTCCAACTTTAATGTTCCTTTCAAAATTTAATTAAATACCAGGTACAATTTTTTTTTCTTTTTATAGTAGCATAGAGAGAACATCAAAATGGCATCCAACTCTTTAGCCAAAAGAGTTGTTAATGTGATCAACCTCGGGAGAATGGGATATATGGGAGCATTTGATATTCAAAACAGATACAAACGAATGCATCAAGAAGAGATGGAAGGTAAATCTACTCAAGCTCAAAATGTGTTATTACTAGTTGAACACAATCCAGTGTACACAGTGGGCGTTCGTGGTCAAGGATACACACTTCAGGACGAAGAACGTTTGCGTAAACTTGGTGCTGAGTTCTACCACACTAATCGTGGTGGATTAATAACCTTCCATGGACCAGGACAATTGGTGGCTTACCCGGTTTTGAATCTCTGTAATTTTATTACCCGTCCTAGTTTACCGTGGTATGTGTCAGCGTTAGAGAACACTATTATTAACACTTGTAAAAAATTTGGTATCACCGCCGAAGCCTCAACTGTCAACCGTGGTGTATGGGTTAATGACAGAAAAATTGCTGCAATAGGTAATTATAAGTTTATTAATCATTGTTTCTAAGCTGCAGCATTACAAAAGTATCTATTAGAAAGACAAAAGACATTTACAACCATTGAACTCTAAAATTAAAAAAAAAATTTAAAATTCTGGTCAAAAATTAATCCAAAAAATTAAATTTTCTTTGGACCATTGAAGATGCAGTATTCAGAAAAATACTGTACAAACTGTACAGTAATAAATAAAGTACCGGTAATTTAAAGTTAGTTTGAAGACAAGGATCTTGAAAGCTAAATGCTAAGCTACAGCACTTAGACTCCATCTTAATGGATAATAAATAATTATCAGGCAGTGGAATGGAACATGTTTTCATGTAATTTATTGATTAGACATAAGCCTTGATGAGTTAAAATATTAATGACACATAATAAAGACAAAATTAATAAGTTTATCATCATATGAAATCAGATTAGTTTAAGTCCATGATGTTTGTAATAATTTATTAAATCTATTAGTTTATTGGTATAAACAATTTATATTAATTTCTAGATGCAATATGTTACATTTAGATAAAATGTGACATATCAACAATTTCAATTATATTATTACAGTATCTATTTTTATGATTATTATAATGGGATATCATTACAAGTTCTTATAGCAGTCTTGGTCTTGGTCTCAGAAATAAAGCTATCAATGTCATGGTGGATTGTTGTCTTGGGTTTCTTTTTAAATCAGAACCCATAAAGCTAAAATTTCATCACTTGATACCTTTCTGTGCTGTACTGTTCTTGTCAACCCTGAGATTCACAAATGTCTGTTTTTATCCTTTCAGGTGTGAATCGTAGTAGAATAGTGACAACACATGGCTGTTCATTAAACTGTAATACTGATCTAGAATGGTTTAAACACATTGATCCCTGTGGTATTGAGGATAAGGAAGTTACCTCCCTTTCTAAAGAGGTGGACACGAATATCACTATTGAAAAAGCCATTGCACCATTTTTAAGCTCATTTCAAGAATCTTTCGACTGCGATTTTGAATTCAGTGGACTGGAACATCATGAACTTGAATCGATTATTCAACACACAGAGGGACTAAATCAGTTAAATGTCCCAAAAAGCAAGCAATCTTCAGTTCGTATGATGTCTTCATTGGCTGCTCGATAGGATCCAGGGATATTCCAAGAGCTGTAGCTTCACTTTCAGTATTTTTGTGCCATATTGTAACTTGCAATTTTCTGTTATACTTAATGCTTTATTTCCTAAATCAAAATATGTTACTCAAGAGCTTCAGGTCCTGTTTAAATATTTCTATACCACTCTACAATTAATGTATTGAGTATGATTTACCAGTTAAAATACATCTTTATTTTAAGTCATATAAAGTGCATGAGGTAAATGGTAACAGTTAAAGGGATTGTAAAGAGGTTTTCTAAACTTCTTATGTGTATCAGGGACACTGATAGCATCAATTTGTACCATTCCAATTTTCATTCCAACATCTGTGGTTCCTGAAATTCCACTAAAACTAATGCGTTTTATGACGTCACTAGAGGGGAGCTACTGGAAGCTACTATTAATATCTATGCAGTTTCCCTATAGGGACGTCATAAAACGTGTTAGTTTAAGTGGAATTGCAGGAACCACAGATGTCGGAATGAAAATTGGAATGGTACAAATTGATGCTATCAGTGTCCCCAATACACATAAAAAGTTTAGAAAACTTCTTAATAATCCCCTTAATTCGGCGGCTGTTGCTGTTCAGGTTTGACTCTGTAATATCATGGTCAGAAGAGCAGAGTTGAAATGGTTAATTAAAAATGTTACTATTGATGGTATTAATTGTTATAGCATTAAATTACTTCTTAATGTCATTTTGCTTTTTTCCTTGGTAAATAGGTTTTGATGAAGATGTTTAACACAGTTTGTTTCACATTTGTTTTGTTTTTCACTGATGTTGAATACTGTTGTTTGTTATTTAATAAAGAATATTATTAGATTATAATAATTGGTATATTGATTATACAATACAATTTGAACTGGATATTTTCACTTATTGCTGGTTTTGCAGCCTACTTCCACATCAAACATTTTAACTGGAAGAAAATCTTTGATAGACTTTTGAATAGATTCAACTACTGATAGACAGCTGAATAGATTCACTCTGTTTTACACTGGATAGATTGAATAGATTCAATTTGAACAGATCCCACCTCTGATACGCATTAAAATAGATACGGTCTCTGATAGGCGCTCAAATAGTTTCAACATCTGATAGACACCTGATTGGAAACAGTCACTGATAGACACCTGAATAAAACCGTCACTAATAGACTCTGGAATAGTTTCAACCTCTGATAGCACTTAAAAAGATTCCTTCCTCTGATAGACACTTGAATAGATTTAACCTCTGAGAGACACTTGAATAGATTCAACCTATGATTGGTAAACACTTGAATAGTTTTAACCTCGGATAGACACTTGAATAGTTTTAACCTCGGATAGACACTTGAATAGTTTTAACCTCGGATAGACACTTGAATAGATTTAACCTCTGAGAGACACTTGAATAGATTCAACCTATGATTGGTAAACACTTGAATAATTTTAACCTCGGATAGACACTTGAATAGATTCAACCTCTGAAATACACTCGTATAGAGTCTTCCTCTGAGATACATTTCAATAGATTCAACCTCTGATTGATAAACACTTGAATACTTTTAACCTCGGATAGACACTTGAATAGATTCAACCTCTGATAGACACTTGAAAAGATTCAACCCTCTGATAAACACTGGCATAGAGTCAGCCTCTGAGAGACACTTGAATAGATTTAACCTATGATTGGTAAACACTTGAATAGTTTTAACCTCGGATAGACACTTAAATAGATTCAACCTCTGAAATACACTGGTATAGAGTTTTTCCTCTGAGATACAATTGAATAGATTCAACCTATGATTGGTAAACACTTGAATAGTTTTAACCTCGGATAGACACTTAAATAGATTCAACCTCTGAAATACACTGGTATAGAGTTTTTCCTCTGAGATACAATTGAATAGATTCAACCTATGATTGGTAAACACGTGAATAGTTTCAACCTCGGATAGACACTTGAAAAGATTCAACCCTCTGATAAACACTGGCATAGAGTCAGCCTCTGGGAGACACTTGAATAGATTCAACCTATGATTGGTTAACACTTGAATGATTTTAACCTCGTATAGACACTTGAATAGATACAGCTTCTGAGAAACACTTGAATAGATTCAACCTCGGATAGGCACTTGGATAAAGTCAGCCTCCAATAAACATTTGAATAGAGTCTTTCAATTATACACTTGTAAAAGATTCAACCGCTGATAAATACTTGAAGAATTTCAACCTCGGATAGGCACTTGAATAGATTCCACTTCTGCAGGACACTTGAATAGATTTGGATTCTGATAGACGACACTTAAGAAGATACAACCTTTGATAGACATCTGAATGGATACAGTCTCTGATAGACGGTTGAATAGTTTCAGCCTCTGATAGACACCCGAATGGATACGGTCTCTCTTAGGCACTGGAATAGTTTCAACCTCTGATAGACTCTTGAATAGATTCAATCTCTGATAGACACTTGAATAGATTCAATTTCTGATTGATAAACACTTGAGTTTCAACCTCTTAGAGGCACTTAGATAAAGTCAGCCTCTGGTAGACACTTGAATAGATTAAACCTCTGATGAACACTGAAAGGCGCTTGGATCATTCAACCTCCGATAGACAACACATTAATGGATAGTCTCTGAAAGGCGCTTGGATAGATTCAACTGTTGATAAATACTAGAATAAATTCAACCTCTGCTAGACAATCGAATAGATTTAACCTCTGATTGACTCGTGAATAGATTCGACCTCTGATAGACACTTGAATAGTTTTAACCTCTGATAAACATTTGAATAACTTCAACCTCTAATAGACACTCGAATAGATTCAATCTTTCCTTCATAGACACTTGAATAGCTTCAGCCCTGGACAGAAACCTCGAGAGATTTAACTCTTGTTGAAAGACAATTAGATATTTGAAAAGATTCAAGCTGGACAGATTGACGTTTGGAAGATATTTTAGAACATATAGCCATTTTAACAGACTAAATTGTCGACTCTATTGCAAGGTTTCACGAAGAAAGATCGTGATATTCTATTTGATTTAGAAAAAAGACGTCTTGTGACTGGGCTATCTTTTTCTAAGCTGCATAACTCTCATATTTCCACCCACATTATTCAAAACGTGTAAAAAAAAAAAAAATTATTGAATGCTTGAAGTTTTTAAAACCCAATTATGGGATGAGATAGTCCGAAAAATCCTGAATTAAAGGGAAATAAGAAGGACAAAATTCAGTTTGTATGTTGGCAGCAATACAACAGTGGCCCAACTTCTGTTACATAACTACCAAAGAAGGTGATCCTCTGTTGTATTGCTGTCAACCTCAGAACTAAAAGTATATGTTTCAATTGTTATATTATTACAGAAGGTGATCCACTGTTGTATGGTGGTCAACCTCAAAGCTGGCTCTGATAATATATCAATATTAGAGCTATCTCTGAGGTTGACCACCATACAACATTGGATCACCTTCTTTAATATAAAAATTGAAACATATACTTGTAGTCCTGAGGTTGACAACAATACAACAGAGGATCACCTTCTGTAATATAACTAAAGAAAACAACACAGCAGTGGACCACTTACTGTAATATAACTACCAAAGACTTATACCTATATCTCAGAGGATCACAACGATAAAACAGTGGACCACCTTCTGTAATATAACTATTAAAAACATATACCTATTGTTAAGAGATTAACAACAATACAGTGGTTCGCCTTCTGAAATATAACTGTTAAAGACAACAACACAGCAACAGACCACTTACTGTAATATAACTACCAAAGACTATTAAAGATATTCCTTTAGTTCTGAGGTTAAGAACAATATAACAGTATGTCATCTTCTGTAACATAACATTTGTAATGATTCACTGTTTTGCATTACCCATGCAGTACAGTCACAGTTTCTCGGATTAATAAAAATAACATGACGTGTTTACCAATTTGTAGCCAAAAACAGTTTATTATGTCAATATTATTGGGTCAGTGGATCAACAACTTTTTAAAGAATATTTAATAAGCCGAAAATAAAACAATTTATTCGGCGGAAAAAATTAAAAATGAAAATTACCATTCCCTTAAAGCAAACCACTGAACCCGAAAAGTTGAAAAGTGCACAATATTATAATTTGATGTTATAAAATATGCTAATGAAATGATTTTAAATTTGGTCTACATTTACTTATGAAACATGCAAGAATAACTCGATTTCTATGGTTTTTAACCCTTTATGTGTTATGCGTGTTTTATATCCAATATTGCTTGAGCGGAAATGATTATTATACATGACAATTTTCAACACCTTGTCTCAAACGCAGCGACTTTATAATAGTTTAAATAATATACAATTATACGACTGTATAAGTGTAACTCCTTCAAATGCAAACTCATCCCCAAAAAAGCAAACTCAACTCAAAAAGAAAGCAAACTTCTTTCAAAAAAGCAAACTCATTCCAAAAAACCAAACTCATCCCAAAGAAGCAAACTCATCCCAAAAAAGCAAACTCATTCCAAAAAATAAATTCATTCCAAAAAGCAAACCCACCCCATAGAAGCAAACTCATTCCAAAAAAAGCAAACTCATCTCAAAAAAGTGAAGTCATCCCAAAAATAAAAACTCATCTCAAAAGGAATCAAACTCATTCCAAAAAAGCAAACTCACCCCAAAAAATAAATTCATTCCAAAAAAGCAAACCCTTCCCAAAGAAGCAAACTCATCCCAAAATGCAAACTTATCTCAAAAGAAAACAAATTCATTCCAAAAAAGCAAACTCATCTCAAAAGAAAGCAAACTCATTCCAAAAAAGCAAACTCATCCCAAATAAGCAAACTCATCCCAAATAAGCAAACTCATCACAAAAAAGCAAACTCATCCCAAATCGATGAAATAAGCTTTACAGTGTATCGTATGCATGTCGGATTGCATATATTAAGTTACACTGTATATTTATATATATCAATATAATACAAATCTGAGTTTATAAGTAGGCCTAATATAGATTGAGGTACACGTGTTTGATAAATGAGAAAAAGCAGATAAATGATGTCAAGGTATGCTGATGAATAAGTTGACCTATTTGGCCCTGTAACGGTATCAGTTGACATATATATTTAAAACTCTGGCTCTGTTCATAGCCATCACATGTATACTAAAGTAGAAATATTAACCTAAAAAAATTCACGTTATGCGTTATTCAGACAATACTAAAATATATCACAGATCGATAGAATATTGATTCTTTGAGTCACATAAATTGATGTGTTCATTGCAGATTTCATTGCATTGGAATCTAAAAGTAGACGTACTAATATATACTTATTGGTAATATAAGAAAAGGCGCAGTTTAACGTGGAGCATCCGTGTTATCTTTTGTTTGAGAAATAAACCAACTATATTGGATAATATGCTATATCATGCCATATTATGTTATATATACATTGTCGACAAAACCTTGTACAATATTCGAGGATGCGAGAAAACCAGTGAAGATTGAAATAAAAAGTAAAATTTCTAGTTCGAGGTATTTGAAGAGATTAGCCGATTGTTGCTTCAATCAAGAAAGAATGTTTAATTTCGAATTAGAACATTTTTAACCAAACCTCTGGGAATTGATTTTACTGGATGATCCATGCCCATGTTGTAAGGGTTTTTTGCTGAAACATCGAGAAAAGGCTGATTTTTTACTGATACTATCGACTGCAAGTTAAAAATAATGACTGCACTAACTGTTATGAACCTATATACAGATTTTGTTATTGAAAGTCTAAAGATTGGCTATATCGAGATAATTAAATAGAAACATAATAAGCTTATATAGCCAGATCTGTGGACCTCATTA